TATAGCCATGCAGTTCTAGCTAGGCATTAACAGTGTACAATTTCAGAATGCCTTTGCTTTGTTGCAGCAAGGTACATTGTTAAAGGGAGTGTTCACCCAAATTACCAAATGAAAAATGTATTTTGTTACCCTGTAAGCAGTCTATGGACAAGGTATGACAGCAATCCATGCTTTGGTTTTATTTACCTGACCGGACTGTTTCCAAATGCTAACCTTTTAGCATTTGTGGCACAAATCCAATGCAAGTCAATGGTACCGATATGAGCATGTTTCACGCTTCAATTAAGTTACTTATAGATGACTTTGACATGAAGCATGTAAAATGCTAATATCGATATCATTGACTTGCATTGGATTAAGCATTTAGAAACAGTGGCCTGGTAAATAAACCAAAGCATGGATTGCTGTCATATTTTTTCGTAATTTGGAAAATATATAATTTTGTAATTTGGGTGAACTTTCCCTTTAATATGACAAACTCTCTCGCAGGATGACGCTAAACGCCAAGTTCATTAGCAATTATATAACAATAACCTATTTAATGAAATGCATTTCTGAACTGATCCCTGACGTTGCAGTTACATCGACTTTTGAGCACTTTTGTTTTACTGCACTGTAGTACAGGGTAACTTTGAATGACCCCAACTGTACATCTTCATCACCCTGCTATATATACAGTGAGCTCCAGAAGTATTGGGACAGTGACACATTGGTTGTTGGTTTGGCTCTGTACTCCAGCACTTTGGATTTGAAATTATACAATGACTGAGGTTAAAGTGCAGACGGTCAGCTTTAATTTGAGGGTATTTTAATCCATATCAGGTGAACCGTCTAGAAATTGCAGCACTTTTTGTACATAGTCCCCCCATTTTAGGGGACCAAAGGTATTGGGACAAATTAACTTATATGTTTTTTAAAGTAGGCTGTAAGTTTAGTATTTGGTCCCATATTCCTAGCACGCAATGATTACATCAAGTTTGTGACTCTACAAACGTGTTGGGTGCATTTGCTGTTTGTTTTGGTTGTGTTTCAGATTATTTTGTGCCCAATAGAAATGAATGATACATAATGTATGGATAGTCCTGAATGAATTGTGAATAATTATGTGATTGTAATTGGTGAGAGGTTAGTATGTCTTGTGGGTATGATCTTTGTGCGTCTGTAACTTTCTCACTCATTATTATTCACAATTCATTCAGGACTATCCGTAATCATTGTAGCATCCACATTAATGTAGAAGTGTTTAGAAACATATTATATTCTTATTTACAATAAAAGTGACTCCAAAATGACACAATACATTATTTATCATTAATTTCTATTGGGCACAAAATAATCTGAAACACAACCAAAACAAACAGCAAATGCATCCAACGAATTTGTAGATTCACAAGGTTGATGTAGTCATTACGTGCTGTGAATATGGGACTAAATAAATACTTAACTTTGTCTACTTTAATACACATATAAGTGAATTTGTCCCAATACCCATTGATCCCCTAAAATGGTAGGACTATGTACGAACAGTGCTGTAAAACGGTTCGCCCGATATGGATGAAAATACCCTCAAATTAAAGCTGACAGTCTGCACTTCATAGCCATTGTATAATTTCAAGTCCAAAGTGCTGGAGTACAGAGCCAAAACAAAAAATAAAATGTCACTGTCCCAATACTTTTGGAGCTCACTGTATCTGTGTAATGTTCTTACTGAAAGGAAATCTTTTGGAAATTAAAATAGAAAAGGAACCAATTTTGGGGATCGTTCCACATTCTATTGAATTGTATCCCTTAGTTAGTGTGCTGTGTGCATATCTCAGGGTGCCCATATAAAGGCAGGCATAAAGAGGATATAAAGATTCTGTAAGTGAACAAAACACGACAGCAGGATCACATGTGGGTTGTCAGTGAGTGGTGGTAAATATATTTGTTCATGAGAACCAACATTAAAAACGTATCCACAACATTGTGAACATCTTGCTGTAAGGTTGTGAACACGTAAATGTGAGCTACTATATTTGCTATCAAATATAATATTTTAATATGAAAAATAGGCTACCTTACTTTACTTATAACTTTATTGTGGGAAAAGTAACCTCAAAGCTGCTTCAATACATCTTACAGTGGTAAGGTTCATGCTTTGTTGAAATTGTCAAGACTCCGTAGAATTTTATTGACAGATAAAATTACATTTTCAGGTATTTATCAGATTTAGCAATTACAGAAGTACTCATTGAGCTTCATTGTTGATTGGTTGTGTATTTCTTTGACATGAACTGGAGTTAAGGTAGGTTGATTTGCAGCTGTGCTCCAGTACTCAGTGCGGCTGCAGCTGGGCTAGGTCACACACCTGGCCAGAGAGGTTAGGAGAGGTGAAACTTGGCAATTGTGCAAACTAGTCACACCAGAAAAAACGAGGCCTTCGTTTTAAATGTATTGGTATAAAACAATTCCATATACAGTACATTCGAAAGTATTCAGACCCCTTGACTTTTTCCACATTTTGTTACGTTACAGCCTTATTCTAAAATGTATTAAATAATTTTTGTATTAAATAAACTTTTTTCCTCATCAATCTACACACAATACCCAATAATAACAAAGCAAAAACAGGTTTTTAGAAGATTTTGCTCATTTATTAAAAATAAGAAACAGAAATACCTTATTTACATAAGTATTCAGACCCTAAGAGACTCGAAATTGAGCTCAGGTGCACCTGAGTCCACCTGTGGTAAATTACATTGATTGGACATGATTTGGAAAGGCACAAACCTGTCTATATAAGGTCCCACAGTTGACAGTGCATGTCAGAGCAAAAACCAAGCCATGAGGTCGAAGGAATTGTCCGTAGAGCTCCGAGACAGGATTGTGTCGAGGCACAGATCTGGGGGAGGGTACCAAAACATTTCTACAGCATTGAAGGTCCCCAAGAACACAGTGGCCTCCATCATTCTTAAATGGAAGAAGTTTGGAACCCCCAAGACTCTTCCTAGAGCTGGCCGCCCGGCCAAACTGAGCAATCGGGGGAGAAGGGCCTTGGTCAGGGAGCTACAGAGTTCCTCTGTGGAGATGAGAGAACCTTCCAGAAGGACAACCATCTCTGCAGCACTCCACCAATCAGTCTTTATGGTAGATTGGCCAGACGGAAGCCACTCCTCAGTAAAGGGCACATGACAGCCCGTTTGGAGTATGCCAAAATGCACCTAAAGACTCTCAGACCTTGAGAAACTAGATTCTCTGGTCTGATGAAACCAAGATTGACCTCTTTGGCCTGAATGCCAACCGTCACGTCCGGAGGAAACCTGGCAACATCCCTACGGTGAAGCATGGTGGTGGCAGCATCATGAAGTGGGGATGTTTTTCAGCGGCAGGGACTGGGAGACTAGACAGGATCGAGGCAAAGATGAACGGAGCAAAGTACAGAGAGATCCTTGATGAAAACATGCTCCAGAGTGCTCAGGACCTCAGATTGGGGCAAAGGTTTACCTTCCAACAGGACAACGACCCTAAGAACACAGCCAAGACAAGGCAGGCGTGGCTTCGGGCCAAGTCTCTGAATGTCCTTGAGTGGCCCAGCCAGAGCCCGGACTTGAACCCGATCTAACATCTCTGGAGAGACCTGAAAATAGCTGTGCAGCAACGCTCCCCATCCAACCTGACAGAGCTTGAGAGGATCTGCAGAGAAGAATGGGAGAAACTCCCCAAATACAGGTGTGCCAAGCTTGTAGCGTCATACCCAAGAAGACTCGAGGCTGTAATCGCTGCCAAAGGTGCTTCAACAAAGTACTGAGTAAAGGGTCTGAATACTTATGTAAATGTGATATTTACGTTTTTGCTTTGTCATTGTGGGGTATTGTGTGTAGATTGATGAGGGAGAAAAAACTATTTTATCAATTTTAGAATAAGGCTGTAACGTAACAACTTCCTGCCATCCAGGACCTCTGTACCAGGCGGTGTCAGAGGAAGGCCCTCAAAATTGTCAAAGACTCCAGCCACCCTAGTCATAGACTGTTCTCTCTGCTACCGCACGGCAAGCGGTACCGGAGTGCCAAGTCTAGGTCCAAAAGACTTCTCAACAGCTTCTACCCCCAAGCCATAAGACTCCTGAACAGCTAATCATGGCTATCCTGACTATTTGCACTGCCCCCCACCCCCACCCCCACCCCATATTTTTACGCTGCTGCTACTCTGTTAATTATTTATGCATAGTCACTTTAACTCTACCCACATGTACATATTACTTCAACTACCTCAACTAGCCGGTGCCCTCACACATTGACTCTGCACCGGTACCCCCCTGTATATATAGCCTCCCTACTGTTATTTTATATTACTTCTGCTCTTCTTTTCTCAACACTTTTTTGTTGTTGTTTTATTTTACTTTTTTATAAAAAATAAATGCACTGTTGATTAAGGGCTGTAAGTAAGCATTTCACTGTAATGTCTGCACCTGTTGTATTCGGCGCATGTGGCCAATAAAATGTGATTGGATTTGATTGGATTTCTATGCCAATGATTCTAATTTAGATGTTCATCGGTTGGGACATAGGGAAAAGTAATTGTTGATATTATGGAATTGTTCACTTTCTGTTGGTCCATGAGTGGTACTTTATTCTGAATATATACATCTTTGTGTAGCATCCCCTTTACTGCAAAGCAATAGCAGTAAATCCCTGATGAGGGCTATCGCTGGTGGGGTAAGTTTCTCAAAACCAAGTGAAATTATTTAAAAAGTGTCTGGACACTTCTACAGCATACCTCAATACACGTTTTGAATTAGGAGTAAAAAGTGTTATGTATACAAACTTCAAAGGATGATGTTTTTTATTGTTTTATTTTGTGTGTTAATAGTGTATGAAACAGTCATCTCTTAAGTGACAAATACAGACAAAGCCTTCCGAGCAATCAAGTGGATATAAAGCTTATTTCTTATTTGGGGAAAACTTCTGACATAATGTCATTACATATACATTGAACATCATCTCCTCTCTTCATTACAAGTGTGTGTGTGTGTGGCTCGCTCTCTGATAGGCCTGGTGCATGGCTGTGTGTTGTCACGTAGGGGTGTTACCCAGGCGACACTTGGCCATGTTAGTTCAGTTGCTCCCCTGTTCTCTGACAGATGCAGAAAGGGAAAAGAAAGCAGTTTTGCCGACCCTCAGCTAACACTCGAAACATCACATCACAAATACACAACCTCTCAAGATGACCCCATTGGCACTGGTATGGACAACGGTGTGTTTGTGGACAACAGGTAAGGACCCCAATATTCTCTCTACCTACGGTCAACAAGTTATTTTCTGTTGAGGCCTCAGGAACAGCGTTAGGCCTACTTTGACAACTAGTGAGAGTCAGAATGTGAAGTGTATGTGCTGTTGTTATTTGCTTATCATTCCATTTAGGTAAAGGTTGTTATTTCTATCTAGTCTTGTGCATTTTTGCAAAAAGGTTTCACACAAGGAAAGGTTAAGAGAGTTAGAGGAGCGTTGATGAGGCCCCAGTGTTTTCTTTGTATGAAGTCCTTTAAAATATTTCAGTGATTAGAGTGATATGTTGTTTTAGTGATGATCGGATAAACCTAAAGAAAAACAGTAGGCCGGAGCCAAAATGCACAGACCCTCAATAATTGTCATATCTCCAAAACATGACAGACATTCAAAGACAACCAAGAGCTATTCTTAAATCCAACGAGAGCTCTGCAGTTAAGATATTTATACATATTTCTGTGATGCATTACATATAAAGAAGCGAAGCGAAACAGTTCAGCATTGTCTCGCGCAACGTTTGCTTCATAATGTCACCTTTATAGATAAGTCTCTCTTCTAACCTTTTTGTTGTGTTGCTACATGTCATGGTTCCAAGGTGCCATAATTTAACATTTCCATTCTTGCAAAATGATTGGTTTAAACATAGTGTTTGTGTCTGTATCCTTCCACAACCACAGGTTTTTTGCTTCATTTTAGATGGAGCAATCTCAACCCTTCTTTAACTCGTTCTATCTCGCTTGATGTATTTCTGGTATAATTTACCTGTTGTAAATAAACAGGTTTCCACAACACTGTTGAAAGCACAATAATGTATTTACAGTGAAGCACAAGCAGACAAAGTTTCAATCCTGTACATTTTTTGTCAGGTGAAAATATTGTAAGAGCATACCAGTGTTACGGACATCCGTCATGTCTTCTTATCATTGTGATCTCTGTCCATGTCCAGCATGCACAAATGACAATAGGACCTTATTCCATCAATATTGTTTATGTCTTCTTTGATGTGGCGACAGTTTGTCCATCCAAACTAAACCCCCATTCACTTCACCTTTCCCAGTGTACAGCCTGATACCAACCGAGTCCGACTTCGTCCGCTACCCCCCGATCAACGATACAGAGGTCCTCACCTGTGAGTGTTCAAGCCGCTCCTGCCAGACGGTCTTTTGGTTCCGCACTTTCCACAACAACTCCGGCTTCCAGTTCCTTCTTAGCCTCAACAATGCTGACCGGACCAGCCACGGACCCAATCTGGATAAACACCGGTTCAAGGCCAGTAAGCGTGACAGGGGGATTTTCACACTGCGCATCATTAAGATAAGGGCAGAGGACGCAGGGTTGTACTCTTGTATGCTCCAGAACCAGAAAGAGAACGAGCTGTGGAGGCCAGGAGTTCTTCTCAGACCTGGAGGTGAGAGGAAGCCATTACCCTGCACGGCACTGACACTTCCCATTTTTCCTATGACTGATTAGAGATGAGAAGATTTCCTGATTAAACCAGAATTCCTACATTTCCCTCATAGAACCAGTTACACAACTGTGTAACGCACTCACTCACATCTGCTGTATTATATTTTGAATGGCCCGAGAACACAGCAATTTCCGGATTTTCCATGTTCTTCCGAAATAGTTGAACCTTTGATTCAGATTTCGCTGTGTCCCTTCACAGAGCTGGGTTGGAATTAATTACAAAATGTTGTGAAGTCAGGACGTCAGTGCAGAATTCAGCCTTGATGTAGAAAAGAAAAGCAATTAGAAGTTTCCCTTGCGGCAGTTGCAGATCTTGTGTTACCATCTTTAAGCTTCTTCATCTGTCCAAATCTCTCTACATTATGTTTTGTGTATTTTGTCTCCCTCACAGTGTGTCTTATATCCATCACGTTGTGCATTTTTGTCACCCACCAGAGACTCGCCCAACATTAACCCCTGTCACGAAGCCCAAGCCCCAGGGCATCCCAAGAGGCCGCTGCACCAAAAGCAACTATGAAACCCCAAAAGGTGAGTTTCATAACTTTAACAAGTCTGTCTCATAAGTTGTTTGTTGTCTGTGTAACAAGTTGAATGTGTTACAGGTTACTTTTTGTGTATCTAGTTATGTTAATACTTTACAACTGGTTGAATGTTGTGTTGCAAGCTGCTTAAACACTGTAACAGGATGTTGTATTGGGTTCCAGGCTGTGGCTCCAAGGTTCTGTGGCCGTTGGTTGGAGTACTCCTGACCTTGGCTGTGGCTTTGATCTACACACTGTACTACTTCAGCCGTGAGTGTCTTCTCTCCTTCCTTACCTGCCGATTAAGCAATATAGCAGAATCACCCAGCTCCAGTGCTGTTTGTAATTAGAATTGTCAATTGTCAAAGACGCTACTCACGCAGGGCCTAATCCTTACTTGAGATGCACATGCTTAACTCTCGTGTAAACTGTGTATTGACGTCAATGGAATATTTGCCGGAAAACTTGAGTTACGTGGATATCAAATTAGGAATCCAGCCCGAATAGCCACAAACAAATTTTAATCTGCAACATTTCACATTTCACAAAGCAACGACAATAAAATGCATTATTTTGGGAGTAAGCAACAATATCGTAATTGATGCATTCTGTGTGGGATATTAGTGTACCTGCTCCTCCTATGGGGTTGAATCGGGGAGGCTGTAATGTATTCATGTTTATGACTGTTACTATGCTGTTGTTCTGAATTAGTTTTGTGTGTGTGTGTTACAGGACTACCCAAAAAGTGTCGACATCAGTTTGCCAAGTAAGTTCCATGTGTAAACTTTGCATCCCTGTGATTTTATCCTCTCCTCCTCTCCCCTTTTCTCACAACACAATAAAATATATCTCCCTGCTTCTGTATCAATCTCTGACTTACTCTTTGGCTCTTTGATCTGAGCCTGTACTCATAAAGCGTCTGAGAGTAGGATCAGTTTTGCCTTTTAGATCACAATGAATACGATTGCATGGGCAAGGGGGACCAGGATCCTAGACAAGATACTCTGAGACATTTTGTCAATATGGGCCCTGGTCACGCTTCTAATCTCTAATTTTCTGTGATCGATCTGACTTTCTCTATAATTGACACAATATTTGTCCCTGTATTCATCTCTGTGTATTTCACTCTCTTTGACTGTTTGTATCTGCCTCACAGGAAAAGACCATTGAAGTAAGTCAGAGAGCCCACACTGCAGACTCTGAGACAGTGCTGTATGTGTCCTTGGACCTCCTTCGAGGAATCCAATTGGACTGAACCTGAAGACAGTTTTATTAGCATCTCACTTTTCTATTCTTTGTTCATTACAGCAATGAACTTGCCTGAAAATCCAACTGTCTAAAAGGAAACTCTTAGGATTCTGTCCACAATGTTAATGTCTTTGGCTTTGGTTTTCTAATTATGTGGACGTGTCTAATATACCACATTTTTATGAACAGGTATTACTCTCTTACAGTGGGGAAAAAAGTATTTAGTCAGCCACCAATTGTGCAAGTTCTCCCACTTAAAAAGATGAGAGAGGCCTGTAATTTTCATCATAGGTACACGTCAACTATGACAGACAAAATGAGATTTTTTTTTCCAGAAAATCACATTGTAGGATTTTTAATGAACTTATTTGCAAATTATGGTGGAAAATAAGTATTTGGTCAATAACAAAAGTTTCTCAATACTTTGTTATATACCCTTTGTTGGCAATGACACAGGTCAAACGTTTTCTGTAAGTCTTCACAAGGTTTTCACACATTGTTGCTGGTATTTTGGCCCATTCCTCCATGCAGATCTCCTCTAGAGCAGTGATGTTTTGGGGCTGTCGCTGGGCAACACAGACTTTCAACTCCCTCCAAAGATTTTCTATGGGGTTGAGATCTGGAGACTGGCTAGGCCACTCCAGGACCTTGAAATGCTTCTTACGAAGCCACTCCTTCGTTGCCCGGCGGTGTGTTTGGGATCATTGTCATGCTGAAAGACCCAGCCACGTTTCATCTTCAATGCCCTTGCTGATGGAAGGAGGTTTTCACTCAAAATCTCATGATATATGGCCCCATTCATTCTTTCCTTTACACGGATCAGTCGTCCTGGTCCCTTTGCAGAAAAACAGCCCCAAAGCATGATGTTTCCACCCCCATGCTTCACAGTAGGTATGGTGTTCTTGGATGCAACTCAGCATTCTTTGTCCTCCAAACACGACAAGTTGAGTTTTTACCAAAAAGTTCTATTTTGGTTTCATCTGACCATATGACATTCTCCCAATCCTCTTCTGGATCATCCAAATGCACTCTAGCAAACTTCAGACGGGCCTGGACATGTACTGGCTTAAGCAGGGGGACACGTCTGGCACTGCAGGATTTGAGTCCCTGGCGGCGTAGTGTGTTACTGATGGTAGGCTTTGTTACTTTGGTCCCAGCTCTCTGCAGGTCATTCACTAGGTCCCCCCGTGTGGTTCTGGGATTTTTGCTCACTGTTCTTGTGATCATTTTGACCCCGCGGGGTGAGATCTTGCGTGGAGCCCCAGATCGAGGGAGATTATCAGTGGTCTTGTATGTCTTCCATTTCCTAATAATTGCTCCCACAGTTGATTTCTTCAAACCAAGCTGCTTACCTATTGCAGATTCAGTCTTCCCAGCCTGGTGCAGGTCTACAATTTTGTTTCTGGTGTCCTTTGACAGCTCTTTGGTCTTGGCCATAGTGGAGTTTGGAGTGTGACTGTTTGAGGTTGTGGACAGGTGTCTTTTATACTGATAACAAGTTCAAACAGGTGCCATTAATACAGGTAACGAGTGGAGGACAGAGGAGCCTCTTAAAGAAGAAGTTACAGGTCTGTGAGAGCCAGAAATCTTGCTTGTTTGTAGGTGACCAAATACTTATTTTCCACCATAATTTGCAAATAAATTCATAAAAAATCCTACAATGTGATTTTCTGGATTTTTTTTACTCAATTTGTCTGTCATAGTTGACGTGTACCTATGATGAAAATTACAGGCCTCTCTCATCTTTTTAAGTGAGAGAACTTGCACAATTGGTGGCTGACTAAATACTTTTTTTCCCCACTGTATGTGCTAGTATAGCACAAATGCAGCTTGTAATAGATAAATAAAAATACATTACCTGTAAATACGTGCACACTGTATTTCCATTGTTTTGTGTTTACCATGAATTGCCACCTGGAACAACAATACCATGGTTTGCCTATTGATATTTGGCAAAACTGTACTTTCAATAGAGTCAAAGCAATATGAAGCATTGTATTCTGGTTCAGTAGCCTAATGTGATTATCGTATGTGTCCATCATGTGTTGATGAATAAAATCATTTTTTGTATAATTCATTACTTAATGTCCATGTACTTTCATCTTATCATAGGGACCAGAGAGAAGTGTGTGTGTGTGTGTGTGTGTGTGTGTGTGTGTGTGTGTGCGTGTGTGGTATTTCCTTGTTTAACTGTTGAGTGGGAGACTTTTAATCTGCGTTTAAACACAGAAACATAATCAAGCCTTCTCCCCACCATTTCACTTCATATTGCATTGGACAGAGTGGAGAGACATGTAACACTCTATATACAAACTGTCTTTATTGATGTCAACCACAATATTAGTCTATATATAATAAACACATAACGATAACGCTTGTTTGAAACAGCATGCACACCTGCAGCATTTTAATGGGGGGATAAAAACATCTGTCTTCCGTGGTTCTTCAGGTCTCAGTGAGTGAACAAGACCCTTTCCTGTGTGACAGAGAAAGAGAGGGAACGAGACAGAGAGAGGAGAGAGCGAGCGCTGTGCACATTGAGATGCTATCACTCTCTCTCTCTTTGTTCTTTCAACTTTGAGCCCCTCTTCTTGACGCTGAAACAAAACAACCGCAGAGCGACCACAGACCCCGCCACAGGCAGAGACAGAAAGAGAGAGAGAGAGGGAGAGAGAGAGGGAGGAAAAGAGAGAAAACACTGTCGTCAGACATTACAAAACCCTCAACTTTATTAAAACTCCCATTGTGTTGTGTCTCACATGCTTTATTTAATTTGATGTTGTATCATGACAAAATAAATGGGAAAAGTTGACTGCAGTGGTTGAGATGGTGGAAGAGAAGTGGGCTTTAGAAAAGTACACATAGAATTGCAGTTTATAGTTACATGTTATTTTACTGAGTTTTTACCTAATCACTTTGTAATAATTCGGGTAACGTGGGGTAACTAGCCACCTGGGGTAACCCATTTTTCCCCCAACACATTCCCTGGCTGCCACTACTCTTTGCTCAACTAAAAATGTTATCTGTCTCATCTACATTTTTTAAGTCACTCTTAGGTAAGTTTATCAAATATTTTTTCATTTAGAAAAAGTTACACTACCGTTCAAAAGTTTGGGGTCACTTAGAAATGTCCTTGTTATCAAAAGAAAAGCAATTTATTGTCCATTAAAATAACATGAAATTGATCAGAAATACAGTGTAGACATTGTTAATGTTGTAAATGGCTATTGTAGCTGGAAACGGCTGATTTTTTATGGAATATCTACATAGGTGTACAGAGGCCCATTATCAGCAACCATCAGTCCTGTGTTCCAATGGTACGTTGTGTTTGCTAATCCAAATGTATCATTTTAAAAGGCTAATTGATCATTAGAAAACCATTTTGCAATTACTGGCCTTCTTGAGACTAGTTGAGTATCTGGAGCATCAGCAATTGTGGGTTCGATTACAGACTCAAAATGGCCAGAAAAAGAACTTTCTTCTGAAACTCGTCAGTCTATTCTTGTTCTGAAAACAATGATAAACTTGGATTAGCAAACACAACGTACCATTGGAACACAGGACTGATGGTTGCTTATAATGGGCCTCTGTACACCTACGTAGATATTCCATAAAAAATTAGCCGTTTCCAGCTACAATAGCCATTTACAACATTAACAATGTCTACACTGTATTTCTGATCAATTTGATGTTATTTAAATGGACAAAAAAATTGCTTTTCTTTCGAAAACAAGGACATTTCTAAGTGACCCCAAACTTTTGAATGGTAGTGTATATATATAATCTGATTAAGTTAGATCTATAAACTTTTGTATATATATATAGTATATACCATTAGGGGAGCCTAAAGATAAATAATCCACTTGTTTAGAGATCTACATTTTTATCAGTTTTTAATAAAGCAGTTAAATCTAAGGTGAGAGTGTTGGGGGTAACTGTTCTTGCTCTGCATATCAACATGTTCCGATTTATTGCACATGTTCACAACAGCCATTACATCTATCTGGAAGGGTATTTGGCTATCCTAAAGAGAGATGTACTGAACGTGTAATATACATATTTTTTTAAATACAAAGAAGAGTAATAACTTGAGAAGGAATATAATAATAATAAGTCATTTAGCAGACACTCTTATCCAGAGCAATTAGGGTTATGCGCCTTGCTCAAGGGCACATCAACAGATTTTTCACCTAGTTGGCTCGGGGATTAGAACCAGCAACCTTTCGGTTACTGGCACAAAGCTCTTAACCACTAAGCTACCTGCCGCCCCATATATATATCAATGATTGTTACGGAAGCATATACAGTAAAAACTATAATTGAAAAGTAATCCTGTGTTTTAATCTATGGTTTCTGTTTGAGCATAGTAGAAAGAATGTATATCACTTTTATAAATATCCACTTGAACAAACACACATTAGTCTATCAATGTAATAACGATTATATGAAAAACAATAGTACTCCTAAAATTCTTCTTCTCTTTTATGTTTTTGAAAGATAATTGAAGAGAAAATGAAACAACCAAACAAAGATATTTATGATAAAAACAATAGTACCATATTTTAGTTAAAAATGTATATGTTTAATCCTTTGCACAAAATATAACATAAGTATTGTTGAAGATATTGTTGCTTATCTTTCTGCTAGTCTCATAACGTTTAGTATTTGTAGTCTCAGTTGTAGATTGTCCTTCTGACAGTAGCCATAATAGTCAACTTGGGCACATCCATTTCTGTTACTTTTTCTATTGTTACACCAAAGGGCAATCTACAGCAATGGCAAGAACCACATTTATTTACATTTTTCTTTGTTTGGTGTTCCCCCTATCATGTGCACATAGCCTACATCACAGTCCAAGTGCATATTTGGTAAAATACTTTACAGAACGTTTTTCATGTATGATCACTCGGCCATGGCTTGGTTATGTACTGTACGAAACATTGAAGTATAGTTGACTATACACAGTGATTAATTAAACAACGCTAGACAAAACATTACACAAAA